AACATCAAAAAAGGGGAAAAATGCAACCTAGAAGGCCATTTTTGTGATCCAAAATCCAAACCACAATTATAATACATGCCTGCATACATGCAGCCAGCACAAGGGGTTTGAGGCGAATGAGCAAAACACGCAGTGGCTGCCCTCCCCTAGGGACAGCAACTTGTGCAATCCCAGAAAGCAAGGAACTGAATAGCTCCTCGCAAACTCTCAACTTTCGCCATACAGAGAGGAGACATGCTTCAGCTGCATCTATCAACAATGCAAGAGTCTCTAGCACCAATTTCTTAGAGGTCTTTGCATCCACATCAAGAGATACAAGACTTCTAATTTGCATCCTAGCAGCAGCTTGATAAACTGATAGCTTTGCATTAATTCTGGATTTTAAAATTGGCCCTTGTTCAGTCCAATCACGCTTCCTTATCTGCATACCAAGTCAAAAGTTATGCCCATCTCTTTTTTCATTAACCAGTGGTTCTATAAAGTTCAAATGCTAACTTATTCAACAAAATGAGTATAAGTTACCTCCCACCTCTTTTTTTTTTAAACCGTTTCTTCAATAAAATTCAGTTAATAACTTTTCCTATAAAACGAATCACTCAGTTGCCTAAATATTATGAAAATAACACAAGATATCCATTGGCGTTTACCTTTAGAAAGGCAGACATGGATTGAAGCTGCTTCTTCGCAATAAATCTCACTTGCTCCAAAAGCTTTTGATCAATGCTTACTTTGTGCAAAATGTGAGCAATCAATTTAAAAGCAATTTCTTGCTTCTCCAAGCTCTCCACAGACTCTTCCTCGAACAAAGCAACTTGTTGCCTAAACATGGCCCCACCTCCTTCGTTGATTAAATTCACGTTCCCTAACTGAATAGCACCACTCTTCCAATACACACCACCTCCATTTGCCATCATTGACCCTCTAGATGAATCATTCGCTGGGCTTGAAACCTCATTGCCTTGAAAATGGTTGACGTTCAAAGGTGAACTTTGAGAAGACGATGTCTCCGAGTTTCCCGGAATTACCTCCCTCGGTGATGCCGGAACTGACATAGCCAACTGGTCGAGAAGGTAATTTATCAATTTTTCTGCATCGGACGGTAAAACTGGCGGAAAATTCTGCGACAAAGCCAACAATAAAGCCCTAGAAATTGCCGAATCATTGCTGTTTGTATCGTGGTTATTGACCGCGGCCGTAACTACCTCCCCGACCAATCCGGCGATCTCGGAAGCGAAATCAGGAGATGAATCGGCGGATTCATACACGTATTTCAAGAAATCGACGAAGAATGAAGCAATGGAATCGGAGTTGTACGACTGCGGCCAAAAGGAACGACGAAACGACGTCGGAATGGCCCGAATAAACTCTAGTATCACCGATTTGGGGCGATTATCCGTGGAATCGGGGCATTTAGAGAGAAATCGCGCGATGGCGAGCACGGCATTGACTTGCGACCTTGAAACCCTAGGCGATCCGCCCAGTAGCGACTCCGGCTGCGGACACCTTCCGCAAATCCAGTCGATTTTATCTCTAAATTGTTCCGGATTGTTCGCTATAATGTCGCAGAGTTCGATCAGCGACTCCATTCGCGATCACCAAAATTCTGAATCAGAATCTGACCAAATTAAATCTCGTAATCGGTTTTCGTCACTGAAAAAATCGCAAAGATGACAAATAAATGTTAGGGTTTTGGATTCTCATTCCGATATTAAGCAGCTGTTTCCTAACGTCGCTGTTGTCCCTGTTTTTGTATGTCTCGCCGTTGTTGCGATTGTCTCCTTTTCTTTATTTTTGTCCCTTTCTTTGCTTCTTATATATTCTTGCTTTTTTATTAGTTCCGTTATCTAATTTTAATGGATTTAATGCGAAGTTTGTTTCTCCTCGCGCCTCTCGGATCCTTTTTTTTTTTTTTTTTTTTTTCTTAGCTCGCTTTCGTGTATGTTCATACCTTCTTTAATCGGTGCCGTTTCGTGGATGAGCGAGTTGACCCGGTGAGTTGGTTAATCCTAACGTGACTCCTGAGATTTGACTTTGACCGGATGAATCATGATACGGGAATGGGATTCTTTCTTTTATCATTATAACGGAAAGAAAGAAGAAAATGATTGTTCAAAAATTTAGTAAAATTTGTTAAAAAAAGGAAAATTTATATAAATTTGATAAAAATTAAAAAAATATATGTTTAGGGTTTAATTTATTAATATGAATTGTGATAGAATAATTTTTATATTTTATATATATTAAATATGAAATAAATATATATATGAATATTATTGTAATAATAATATTAATTTTAATTTAATCTGTTTAAAATTATATCGGAAATTTTAACTAAACTTTTTTTGAAAACAAAAGCAAATTTTGAACTTCCTACTTGACCAAAAATACAAAGTATGCCTTGGCAAAACATCATGATAAGGATAACTATATTAAATGCAAATAAAAATTGATAGACAATCTAAAAGTAATAATAATCCCAATAATTCAAATGCGAGATTAAAATGTTATATTGTTTTTTTAATTTTTTTATTTAAAAATATAAAATTGAATTTTAATATTATAAATAAATATTAGTCACTAATATATGAGTTGAGTGAAATGCTCAAAAAACATCTATTTATTTAGAAAAACGATTAAAGATATCGTTATGTTATATCCTCACTTTCAAATTTGAAATATCACAAAAGCAATTTACTAAAACAATGGAATCTATCTTTTCTCTAGATCATGATTCTTCAGATTTTTAGATACTTGGAATATCATCAGCTCCTTTAGTGGATGCAACCATGGGGGAAAGGGTCATTCTCTTTTGAAAGGGAAGTATATATATAGGTATTCGATAATTGTTAGACATATGTTTGGTGCTTTTTTCAATGCCATGCATGGGCTAATTAAAGAGTTGATCAAAGCTTAAAAGGGATGGCTGTCTCTATTTTTTCCAAGGAGATGGCTGTGAATTGGTAAGCTAAAGGATGGGTAAAGCATTTTTTTTATTTTCATTCTTTATATTTTATATTATACTTATTATCATACTCATATAGAATAAATATTTCAAATTCATTCTCATCTCTATTTCTTTGATTATTTAATAGGGATAAATAATCTATGTGACATTTTAAAAAATAACAATAAAATTTATTTTTTAAGTTCTTTATTTTTATTTTGTACATTTATGTAATTTTCTTATAAATATATATATTTTAAATATAAATATATTAATTCTAATAAATTTAAAATAAATTTTATAGTATTAAATAAAAAATTAATTTATTAAATATATAAATAAATATGGTATAAATATGGGCAAGTACTATATTACTCATCCTCATATCTGTACATAGTAAAAAATTTAAAATTATATCTATCTCTTTTCTCATCTCAAAAATTTAATATTTATTCTTATTTCTATTAAAATAAAAAATTGAATTCTTCATCATATTTGGATAAAATTGACATCATTAAGAGATGCTAACATATGCCTATAACAATCAAGTGCTTCCACGAACTTTTGTTACTTTGCCTTTAATATTGATAGGGAAACTTTGTAATAGCAAAAATATTAGCGGGAATTGGGAGCCACATGCCTTAAATATTGGAAAACTCTTATGTTTAATGGATTAGTTTGGAACTCTGGACCAAAAATGGCCGCCACTAGTAGGTATGCGCCCACAAAATTGAGTTTGTACTTTTAATACCAAAGAAGCGGTGTTTGATCCATTCGAACATGATCAATACATTATGATCGTTGGCACTATCCAGAGGGTTAAGACTTAAGCCTCAGGTAATCCCTAAGCAAACACAAGACAAACCCATTGCCCCCAAAAGCACGTAAAAAAAGAAAAAAAAAATGTCTATCTGGTCTATGTAGCCTGGTCTACCCATGTTCAAATATGCTACTGATTGGGAGAATGAATTCTTACGAGTCATTGACAATCTCTCCAGAAGGTTAAATGAAGTATAACATTAACTAAGAACAGTAGTATATATCTATAAATTCAAGGACGAAACTAGACATAAGGTAAAAAAGGGTCCAAACAATGAAGTTAATGAAAAAGAGAGGGTCGATACTAATGTTAGATGAGCTGAGTTACTATAAAAAAATTTTTGGGGTGCCATGGCCCATGGCTGCCACCCTTTGGATTCCCCTCTGTACATAATTGGCTAATGAATTTATACAGAGAGAAAAGAAAAACAACCAATCCAGCATGGTTAATCGGTTACACGATTTGATCAAGCACTTCTTTGTTTGTTGCATAGGTGAATGAAGAACACAGGGAGGATTGCCTCCAAAAACATTAAAATTTTCCTTTACTGCTCATTTTCATTCACCCGACTCTCTTGTTGTTGTTTGAAACATGTCATAAAAAGGTAAAAAAGGAACACTACTAATGGTAGTGCTACAATATTAAACCCTCATGCTTGTCAGGCAACTAAATTAGCACAAAGCTGCAGAGATAGAATATAACTAAATTTTGCATGATACCCAGACCTATGTTGGTACTAATTAATTAGGTCGTAAATACAAACAATTATTTGGCAGGTTAATGGATCGTGTAGCATTATTTATGAACCAAAACCATTTAAGGAAACAAGCTAGAATGTTAAGGTAAAAAATATATATATTTTATCAAACACTTGTCTTGCCACTTATATACTTGGCATTTTATATATGGAACAGGAAAATATCAGGTATATATCTAATTACGATTCACATACACAACAAAAATTATCACATAACAAAAATAATAATGCTGTTGCCAAATGATGATAAAACAATGTAGTTTATGTTTTAACAGCATAAATAGTTATGATCAGAAGACCTGAATTGATACAAAACCTAAGACAATCTAGATCCTAAACACAGGATTGTATAGGAAAAAGAAGACTAGGTAGGTACCAAGTTAAACTGTCCTTAAGTCACCGAAAGCAACCGAGATTTGCATCCTTCCGAATATCAACCAAATCATAAATGATAAATCCTAATACTCAAGTGATCAAGCTTATCTATTAAAAGGGCCGTTGGGATCTAATTGCTTGCAAAGACCAAGATAAGTCAGGTAAAGAACGCGATCTTTGGCCCCAGTACGATGATTTTTGGTGTGCTTGCAAAAATACTTCAACTGCTCAAGAGTACAGCATCCAAGCATTTGCCCAAGAAGCAAAAAGAGCCAGTTGATAGATTTCTTCTTGTCAGAAATCACCGGCTTGACACTGTTTTCCTGATCACAAAACTTGCATGTGGGTAACACCGGATTCATCCAAACAGGTGGAGCCCTGTCGTGCATGGCATTCTTGTTCTCCGCTATGAAAGTCCCAATTTCAGCAAACTTGTCTTTCAAATCATAAGCCATCTCGTACTGTCTCTCGCAACGCTTGCATTGAACATCACCAGTGACTGTAACTATTTGTTTTGACAACAAATAGTTAAAGCTATGAACCGTGGCTCGATGCGTTGTGGCCCATGGAAATGGAGGAGGGACCGTCTCGCTTTTCCCTTCTCGTGGGGCCTGAATAGGGTTTCTCCGAACACGTATAGGGCGTGAAGGGCCAGCGACAGCCGAGGAGACAGGCTCTTGGGGGTATACGAGAGGGGAAGAAGACGAGACTTGGGAGACAAAAGGAACGTTGAAAAGAGGATGGGAGGAGGATAGCTGGAGAGGGAATTGAGGAGGGGGTTGGGAAAGCAGTGTTTGCATTGACAAAGATTGGGAAACTATTTGTTGGGGTTGTTGTTGTTCCAGTGGCAGCGTCGTGGGTGGAGTCGGAGGAAGTGGCTCTTCTGACAATGTAAGTTTGGTCCTACTTGAACCATATGACAAAGATAATGCCAGCAAATCCTCGTCTTCTTCATCGAATTCCTCCAACCTTTTCGATACTTGATATTCCTGATGAATATTGCTCTTTCTTTTCTTGTTGACTTCCTGTTCTTCCTTCATAATGTTAAACTAGGGCATACAGTTGAGGAAAGAAACAAAACAAAAAGGAAGAGAAGAGGTTTTGAAAGACTGATATAGTGTGGTGAAATTCAGAAAAGAAAAAATGTAGGGATTTTGGGATAGAGATAGGGGGAGAAATTATATAGGAATTTCGTTGGGATTAGAGTTCTTTCCCTTTTCAAATGCTAAGAAAATAGACTACTCAAATTCTTTTTTTTTTTTTTTTCAGTTATTGGATTGTGGCTGCCCAGTTAGGTTTGCTGAGCGTGCTCCAGACGGTATCACATACGTCCGAGTTCACAAAAACAACTCGGAATTTCACCTTTTACTTTAATTGTTTTTAAATATTTGGATATGAATGAAATTAAAAATTTAAACTCAATAATAATTCAAATTTCTATAACTAATCTCTAATATTTATCTTTGATCACAAAAACAAATCTACAGAATCTACATAATAGTAGTATCATTTTGAGGTCCCAAATGCGTGTTTAAGGATCAAACCAAAACCATAATGTCTCGGAGACAGGAATATTATTAATGGATGTTAATTCGACAATCTGTTTTATTGGTTTGAAATTATAATCTTACGAATGGAGAAAAAAATTGTATTAAACGGTTATGTTAAGTTAGTATATGTCTTTTTTTATTTAAATCGTATTATATAATCATATTATTGAAAAAATAATTATTTATTAAAATAAATATTTATTATTTACTTATTAAATATAATGTGTAATAAATAGTTAATTTTTTTAATAATGTAATTATATAGCATGATTTGTATAAAATGATATATATTAATTGTTTCATACAATTTTTTTTTCATATCAATTAGCAAGTTTTTTTTTTCTAAAATTAAGCTTTATTTGAAGATAAAAACTGTAATTTTATCTTTAAAAAAATGTAAAAATAAATAGGTATCCTTCAAAATGCATGTATGAATGAGGAAAACAAAAAAATCTCAGTATATGGCATTATTTTTTTTGTACTTACTTTTTTTAATATAATTCAAGCAATCGTTTTTAAAATATAACATCTAATAATTTTAAAATTTAAATCTCAATATTTATTATCTTTTTTTCATCTCAAACTATCACTTCATCATTTATAAAATAAAATTTTGGTTTTAATTTTTTTTCACACGCACTTAAATGTAGTAATGTGCACCATACGCATGACCGCCCAACTAGCTATGATACATAATGTATTTATTACATAATTCACTTCTCCGAAAAATTACTTTATAAAATTAATGACTAACATAAAAGATTTAGTTAAAATTGAACTTTTTATCAATATTACTTGTTAAGATTTGCAACGTGTGTTTATTGCCATTGTTGTATATACACGAGAGATTATAGAGTAAAAATAAAATGAAAAAAATTAATTAGTAATAGACTCGATAATTCATGAATTTATGTCATATAAAATATTAAAATTTATATATTTATATTATATTTTATATAAAAATTACTTATTATAATTTATATCAATATTAAAATATAAAAAATATATATTTTTATTACACTTATATTATTAAAATTTTAAATTATATTATTTTTATTTTTTATAAAATATTTATATCATGCCAATTAATCAAATTTTAAATTATTAAATTTGACAGCGGTTAGAGAGTTTTGACCTTAGCAATCTGACTTTCGTATGTTTCTTTTTGCTTACAATTATTTTTCGAAATTGTACTCAACACACTTTAGTCTGACTGGATTTTGACTCATTCATAATTATGTGAAAAAATTATTAATTAAATAAAAATTACTATGATTTAAGAAAAAGAAGTTACTTGATGGATAGATAATTTTGAAAAAACAAATTTGTTTAAAAAAATAGAAAGTTATTACAATTAAAATTAGAGATATTATCAATCGAACTCACTAAAATGGATAAATAATCTGGCTCACAGATAGATTTAGAAAAAATGTGTAAAATATTTATTTATGAGTAGATAGTTTCTTGAAAATACATGTGTTTTTATAAAAATAAATAAACAAAAACATAAATATCCCTTTAATTTCTTTTATTATTTAAATTTTATTTTAAATTTTACATAAATTCACCAATTAAATTGGTGTCACTTGATTTGTGGCATCAACTCAATCAAATATTTATATATGGTATAGATTAAAAAAAATAAGTTGAAGTTTAGATTCAAATGCATAATTTCATTTAATTTTATATTATTTATTTAATTATATACTTATTCATTACTTTATTTATTTAATAATTTATTATATAAATATAATACTTAATTATTATTATAATTTTGTATTGGTTTATAACATAAATAAAAAGGAAATGGTTAGAAATCACCCGAAATGTCTAATTCCTAAAAATATATACCGAGACATCATAAAAGGGAAGTTTAACACTATCCTTTTTTCCCCAATACAGGACCCCTGGTTGCCTCGTTTGCAAAATTTTACACAGCTTTATAAAATTAAAAAAAAAAAAAGAAAATGAATCAAAATTTGATAGGACATCAGCAGCCTGCGCTTCTCTTTTATATATATATATATATATATATATATATATATATATAATATTACAACGTACATAATTATTAATATGATGTGAATATTTACATAAATAATTTTTTTAACACGTAAAAATTTTTTTAAAATTTCTTTTTTTAATAATACATAAAATATTTCATAATTTTAGACTATTTAGTAAAAAATATATTTCAAAAATTATTGAATTATCTAAAATTTTTAAAATAAAATTAATTCTTATTTTGTATTTATGGATTAAATAAGTGTATTCGAAAAATCATTGGTTATCTAAATATTTTTAAGATATATTTATTTAAAAATTTTTTAATTATTCAAACTTTTGCTTTCAATTGAAAAAAAACATCTCTATCTATCAAATTACCTTTAGATATATCTTAAAGGTTGTATTACAAGTAAAAATCATAAATACAGTCAAATATTTTCAATCTAGCATATATTTACATTAAAAATTAATAATAGATAAATCAATCAAACAAAACCTATATAAGTTGAATTGAATTACAATCGTACAAAATGAGATTTAATTGACGATCACAAGAGAAGATGAGGATGATGAAATTGAATAAAGTTAATCTGAAGTGATAATTATCATTTCAAATTATTTGTTGGTGTCTTTAATAATATCATTTAGTTTCTATTTTACGATTTTATTTCTGTTTTAATATTTTGTTAGTGTACTTAATAATATTATTTATAATATTTTTAAATTTTTTTCCTTCAATATTATTTATCGTATTTTTTAAATTTTGTCATATTTTTAATTAAAAATTTTATTTTTATTATAATTTGATATCTTAATTATATTATGTATATTTTGAACATATAAATAATTAAATAATATTAGTTTATATTTTTATTTATATTTAAATAAAATAAAAATAATTTGTATATCATACAAGTAACAAACTAATATACATATATATATTAGAACCAAGTCAAAGCAAGTAATATTTGTTAATCCAAATTTCAACCAGGCCATCAAGTTATAATTTCGTATAGATCATTCATTTTTCATTTGTTATCATATTATTTCGTCGGTTTTAATTATGAATGATATATTGTGCACGAATGTAATATGAAATAGGTTTGAATTATTTGCGACGGTCTTATTTCAAAATCATCAACGAAATATCAGATCAAGAATATGAATTCTTCTAAATCTAGAAAGAGGGTTTTTTTTCTTCATGCCATTAATAAATAAAAGAGCCTGACAGCCACTAACATGGGACATGTAGGGTTGACAAATCCTGTATGAAACCCTAATTAACTAGAGGTGGGTGGCGTATATATCAAACTCTTTTATTCTTTTTTTTTTAATGAAATTTATATGCTTTTCATGGAAGATTGCTATTTATATATAATCTTATAAAAAAAGATAATTATCAAATATTAAGTAAAATTAGTGAAATGCTCAAAAATAAATAATAATTTAGTGGAAGGCAGAAATTAACACTAAAAAAAAAAATTCATTTTCAGGATTTAAGATTTACTTAGTAAATATAAACAAAAATTAATAAAATGTACATTAATATAAGAAATTGGATTTACACGTAATTTAATGTTTTATCTATGAAACACTCCTTTCATCCCTATTCTCATCATGATTTGTGAGACAACCACATGTTAAGTTTGATTTGTGAGACAATCACATGTTAAAGTTAGGAGTTGTGATGAATCTAAAAGATGCTGGTTTTAATTGCTCCAATTTTAGTGGTTATCCATAGACATTTTCTTGTTGTTTATTAAATTTAAGGTTAATGTTATGAATGATTTTTAAATTATAATAAAATATTAAATGTGATATTTGAATATTAAAAGTTTTTAATGCAATATATGAATTATGAATATGTTAACTAATATGATATTCATCCATAATATAATTAATTTAACTACAAGTTTCTTTTTGCTACTCTTTCTTTTTTCATCTTTTTCACACATGATTTCCTAGACAATTCTCTTCAGCAAAAATTAAAAAAAAAAATACTTAGACTAATTATTTTGAAGAAATTACAAGTATAAAAAAATTATAATTATAATTAAGTATTATATTCATATATAATATATCATTAAATAATAATTAACGAATTAAAATATAACTAAACAATCAAATTCATACATTATAAAATTTAAATGTATAATAATTTAAATAATTACATTACTTAAGATTTAGAGAAAAGAAAAGTACAACAATTATTATCCAATTGCTCCGATTCTTAATTTAAATAATTAGTCTATCGAAAAGTGATAATTAAAGTTATGTTTTATTGATATTTTATTTTTATATTTTATATTTTATTTTTATATTTTATTAAAAAATAAAAAACAATATAAAAGACAAAAGTATCAATCAAACAAAATCTATATCATCACATTGAATTTTTTTAAAACTGTAATTAAATATTAGAGGAAATTGTATTTTTGAGTATCATTTTATTAATTACCCAATTAAGAGTCTCAATTTGGTAT